AAGTGCTGGGATTACAGGTGTGAGTCACCGTGCCCGGCCCCAAAAGGCTTTTGAAATAAAAAATGAAAGGAAAAAACCCTCATACTTGCTTAGGTAAAACAAACACCAACAGAAAAAAAGGAATCTATTGGCTCAGCAACCAAAAAGGTAAGGCTGGCTTCAGGAATAACTTGGTTCTGGGATTTTTGTGCTATCTCCGAGACCCACGCTCCCCATCTCCCATCTCTTGGCTCTGTTCTTTGACTGCCTGTGTTGGCCAAGATGGAGGTCACAGCAGCTCAAGTCAGTGGGGAAAAGGACTTGCTGCATCCTCTGTCATTGCCGAGATCTCACCCCTCAGCACCTCTCATCAGGTCCCACGCCCTTCCTGACCCAGCACCCAAGTCCCTGAGAATATGATGTGCTCATGGGCTCGGGGCCTATTCAGAGCCCATGGGCTGAGGGTTGGTGACAGATGGCTCTTACGGGTGTTTTGAAGAAGGGTGAGTTGGGTGGACAGTCACAGAGGACCACAGCAGCGGCCTTGTACTATTTTACAGGTGAGAAAATTGGCAGCAGGCGAGACTGAGTGACTTGTTTGAGACACATGTTGTCTTAATATCTGTTTGAGGGAATGCTTGATTAAGACGTAGCTGGGAAGGGGCAGTCCTGGAGTTGGACATGCAGTCTGTGTGATCGGCAGCCAATGTTTGTATTCCATGCTGTCTACTGACTGGATGACCTTGGCCTAATCACCTACCCCTTTTGACCTTGGTCCCCTTATCCAGCTCTGAAATTTGACAACTCTCCTTTGAGGAAACTTATGACTAGATGAGCTATAAATTCAGTAATGTCATAACTGTTGCCAAATAACCTGCTTCTCTTTCTCCTCAGTATTTGTTCTAAGTGAGGGTAAACACAGTTCCGCTCGGGCATCATCTGATGGTTTATGTTCCCTTCGGTTTATTTATTCACAAGGACTCTGTTTCTCATCGTGCCTGTAGGCGATAATGGATGCTTTGGCCTGGAGCATGTAGTTCATTTAGCAGTTCAAATCCTCTTCTTTTTTCACCCTGCTTCCCCAGTGACCATTGTTCTGGGCTTCATTATAAAACAAATACTTCTTTCCACTATATTGACCCCAAATATTTCGTCAATTCACTTGTGTTACTGAAAGCCAAGTGTTGATTCAGGCTGGGACAAACAAAGGCTACTTTGTGAGGCTGTGCTGCAGACAGACCAGCCAGATTACCTTGTGCAGGACTGGTTGTTTTTTCATTTTCAAAAAGGCAGTGTCTTTTTAAGCGTAGTATCTTAGTGGCACATAATTACGCCACACTAACAAATAGTCTGTTGTCATTTTAATCTATATTTACTTCTAGTATTGTCTGTTTTTTCACTGTATTTATATAGTTGTAGTGTTACATAGCTATAATTTAATATTTTGTTTATTTTACTTCATAGATTTTTCCATTCTGTGAACCTGGACTTCACTGTTCTCATTGTCACATTATACTCAACAAGCATTTATTGGTTCATTCAGAAACTCTTTAGCTAGTAACTACTTAACTATTCCAATATGAGTTACATCCAGTTTTTATCATCATAAATAATGTAATAAATGTATTTGGACACATACCTCTCCTGATCTTTTGGATTATTTTCCTAGGATAAATTCCCAAAAGTAAGATCATTAGGGGGAGAATTTAAATAGCTCTTAAAGCTAACAGCCAATCATGTGTGAGTGTGTCAGTGAATCTGTTTCCTCATGATCCTAGTCATTGTTAGGCAGGGGTCTAGACCCAACATGGCGGCGCCACCCGGCGTAGCAGGCCCTTTGTTCGAGACTTCCCTTCCTCTTTGAACACACCCGCAGACTTGCATACGTCAGAGGTTCCGGCTGGGCAACCACACTCCCCCATGACCTGCAGCTCACCTGCATTCCACAAGTTTGTAAACAGCAGTTTCAGTTAACAGTTTCCAAATACCCCTTCCTCATGACCCTTACTCAACTCCTGCCCTAGTAGTTTCAAGACCCCCCAGGCCCTGTTTGTACAAACAGCTTCCCTACCTCTCAGGCTATAAAAAAGCCCCTACCCTCCTCTCTCAGCACGACTTCCTCAGCCTGCACCTTTGGACCGAGGAACCTCGCCCACGAGTCCTAATAAAGGCCATTCTCACTGCCATTTGCCTTGTGTCTTTGTTCCCAGTTTGGCTCCAGCCTCAGTTTACCTTTACAGTCATGAGTTATAATTCACCTTTTTTGATAAATACAGGACTCCTCCATGAACTGGCTTTTGCCTGTCTCTCCCTTCTAATTTCCCAACAATCCTCAACTTTCTCTTCTATTCTATCACCTTCCCTCCACCCCCTCAAAATATGTAGGTTTTTTGGTTGCTGTTGTTGTTATTTGGTTGGTTGGTTTTGTGCTGTTTTTTAGAGACAAGGACTCACTCTGTAGCCCAGGCTGGAGTGCAGTGGTGTGATCACACCTTATTGTAACCTTGAACACCTGGGCTCAGGCGATCCTCCCGCCTCAGCCTCCTGAAAAAATAGGTAGTTTTTTACACACAGAATACCTTGTTTTGAACATGAACTTCCTGTTACCATAGGTGCTCTACTGGAGCAAGACACTGGATACCAAAAGCTGCTATCAACCATCATCCCTTTGCTTAGTGTTATGGACTGAATTATATCTTCCCCCACCCCCAAATTCATCTGTTAAAGCCCTAACCTCCCATGTGATGGTATTTGGAGATGGGACCTTGTGGAGGTAATTAGGTTTAGAGGAAGTCCTGAGGGCAGGGCCCTTATGATGGGATTATAAGAAACACCAGAAGACATGCATGCTGGCTCACGTGCACGCCCTCCCTCTCTGCTATGTGAGCACACTGCATAATGATGGCTGTACACAAGCCTGGAAGTGAGTTCTCACCAGACATGAAACCTGCCAGTACCTTGATCTTGGACTTTCCACCATGCAGAACTGTGGGAAATAATGTCTTTTGTTCAGGCCACCCAATCTGTGGGATTTTGTTATAGCAGCCCAAGCTGACTTACACACTCAGGATCCATCAGTCTTAATATTTGCGATGTTATTAGATAATTAGTTATCCAAATAGATCATTTAGAATTTGTTTCCACATTTCTTACTTGCTTTTCATGACAGTCTTGTAAATATCCTCATTTTATAGAACAATAATGGTCAATAGAGACATCTGGAGAACTCTAAGTTGTTCAAGATGGTTCAAGGGCGAGGGTGCCATGTGAGGTAAGTCACTGGACAGAAGAGAGGATTGCAGAGGCTGGCACATGTAGGGCCTTTTGTGGCAGTTTCAGGAGTTGGACTTTTGACCCACAGAGGCTGGTGTTTGAAAGGTTTCAGGAAAGGAGTAACATAGATTAAGATGTTAGAGAGAGCTCAGACAGCAGTGTGGGATGGGCAAGGCAGAAAGCCAGGGTCCCAGCTAGGAGATCTGCAAAAGTGAGCAGTGATGAAGGCCTGAAAGAATACAAAGTACTAGGAATGAAGGAGGACAAAGTTAAGGAAGATCTTAGAGTTGATCCTCATTTGGTAGAGGAAGAAATTGAGGAGTGAAGAGAAAAAAAGAAACGCGCCCAGGGCACTCCAGCTAGTTCAAGAATTCAAAAAACATGTATTGAGTCTACCATGAGCCATGTGGATTCCCTGGTGTGCAAGGGACATGTTCTCGTTTCATAGTTTATTGAGGGAAATGGTCTTCTGTAGCACTGGGCTTTGAATGAATCAGCTTCCTCTGGAAAGAGTTGGGTTAGGCTAATGCAACCAAACTCATGCTACTTCTCTCTCTCTTATTTTTTCCAGGTCTGAGCTTCAAACCATGTCCAGGTCTCCTTTTCTAGGGATTTTAAATTTTTCAGGCAGCCCAGTCTATCTCAGTCCCCAACTGCCTTCACATTCCCCCACCTGGTGCTACTTGATCTGTCTTTGCAAGTACAGCCCTACTTCCAGCTCCTAAAATCAATCCTCATGTGAGATAAGAGATTTAAGTAGCTCCAATTACACCTCTCTGGGTCATTTTTACTGTTTTTCAGATTCTGATGTAGTGTTCCGTTCTAATAACTCATATTTTACTGTGGTTCTGGTGTTGGTCACAAGTTCATGCTGCTGTCCCAGTTTTGGACTGGGTCTCTGCCTTGTTCTTGTCAATTCCCGTCCTCCTGTCCCAACCCACGTATCCTAAATGGTGTCCTGATCTTGCACTGTTAAGGGTTCTGAACCTGCTGAGGACCTTTGTGCTTGATGTTATCTGTCCATTAGGATTCCCCAGCACTTGGTCTTGGAGCCCCCTGAACCCATTGAAAAGTGCTAGCAGGATGGGAACCTGTTTTCAGACCACTTGAATCCCAACTCAACTACAGCCTCCTTGCAGCACTTAGAGTGGGAGGGAAGTTTCAAAACCCTGTTTGGTCATTTTGAGTAGGTATATTTCAGGTCCCACCCACCCATGTTCTGCTCTTTCCTGCTGCAGTTAATTGTTTCAGTCTGGAACCTGAAAAAAAAAAAAAAAGTATTTAGCAAGTGTTAA